TCACGTGGTCCCAGGTGGCCACGCTACACCTGGGGACGTGGCTGGGGTGTGGTGGTGGTAGGTGAGGGGTGGGGGCAGGTGAGGGTGGTGGGGGGGTGGGGAGGGTTTGGTGTGGGGGGTGAGGTGTAGGTGAGGGCTTGTGTGTGAGGTGGTGTGGGTGTGGTGGTGGTGAGAGGTGTAGTGGTGGTGGGAGAGAGAGGTGTAGGTGAATTAGTCTTGCTTGTAACGGATTAGCACGATGATCCCCTAACACACACACACACAGGTTTTGTTGATGGTTTAGGTAAGGCGGAAGGAAATGAACCGCGCCCATGACGAGAACACCAATACTCAGGTCCTCCCCTCACTCTGGTCCTCCCCTCACCCCTCATTCTCTTTGTTTATCCCCTCACTTTCCCCTAATTCACAGTGGAAAAGAGAGAGAGAGAGAGAGAGAGAATCTTTACTCCGATGTACCGGGAGGTGAGGTGAGGGAGGGGGGAGGCGAGGGAGGGAGGGATTTTAAAGATGGAGAGGTCGACTATCTTCTTGAGGCTCCTTCAGACCTCAGTGTGTACAGAGCCACCCATGAAGGAGGACCTACTGTACATGCTCCCCGGTGTACGACCCTGGCGCCACACACTTCACTCTCATGGTGACTGTGGTGTGTGGGTCTATAAGCCGGCGACCTGTGGTGTAATGGTCAGCATCCTCGCCTCGCAAGCGAGCGGACCCGAGTTCGATCCCCGGGCAGGGTGAAACCATGGGCAAGTTTCTTTACGCCATTTGCCTCTGTCTACCCAGCAGTAATTGGGGACCTGGATGTTAATCGATTTGCGGATCGTGTTCCGGGGTAATGGTTAGCCAGTGCAGTTGGCGAGTTGCCCGGTCTTCTCGGACTATTCCTTGACACTGGGTCATGCAGCTCGTTAACTCAGGGTGTGGTTGTTGTGTTGGCGACAGCTTCTACACCTTAAACAAATTCACGCCTGGGAGGCCCTTGGGCCGGCCATCCTCGATTTTGAGGGGCTTCCATTTTTATTGTGCCGCTCTTATTAGGTGAGAACTGAGAATAGGTGAGGTTTGGTTAGGTTAGTTTAAGTCTAGTTCTGGTGGTAGGTTAGGTTTGGTTAGATTAGGATTAGATTAAGTTAGAATAGGTTGGGTTAAGTTAGGAGAGTTTGCGAAATCGTTCGTATAAACTTGACTTGACGCTCTCCAGCCAGTTATAACCTGGCTGACTTTCTCTGGCTGTGTGTGTGAGGGGGGGGGGGTATTGGGTGACCAGTAGTGACGTAGTGTGCTGACCGGAAGTGAAGGACATTGTTCAGCCTAAGTCCCAAAAGCTACTTATTTTTTTTCTTTTTAGATCTATAATTATCGTTAATAAATGTGATTCTAATGATTTATTTAATGTATATCCTACACTACCTATATTTTTCATCAATTCATCAAATAATGTAACAGTAATTTCTTCTTGAACTATAATGCGAGTACAGTATTGTATATTTGAGTAAACTACAACTACGTATTAAAAATAGTCACTATATTTTTTTTTACCATGAGTTAATTTATATTTTACACTGAAAACATTATAGAAGCTTAACTTAAAATATTCATTGAAGTCCAGTGTGTGCTGTGCTTCCCTCCCCCTCCTCCTCCTTCTCCTCCCGTGGCCAAGTGTTCAATGTTGTAGGAGGCCCACTGACCCATAGGTTAGTCGTGATACTTATGCAACGCCGTCCATCTCGCCCAGCTGTGACGTGGACAGGAGCCAACAAGTCTGACTCAGACGTCATCTCCGGCTAGGATGTACAGTATGTGTTCTACCGAAAATTAAAGTTTTATCAGTTTGCACAAAGATCCTGTGAGTCAGAACTTAAAATAAACTTAACTTTAGTTTGTCTGGGTTTATTATGTTGTTTATTTATTTGCTTGTTTCTTCTGGGTCGAGTTAGCCGAGTATTTTTATCTAATAAGCGCGCCCTCTCATTACCCACACACTTTGTCTCATTATCCGCTTATCTTGCACTACGACTACCATTTCCTCCACTTTATTTAAGGTTTCTGCGTCCCTACTTCTCCTTACACCTAAGTGGCGGAGTATTCAAAAGTAGTGGTATATTAAGTGGAGGAACCATCTTTATATGGCGCTGCCTTGAATCGGAATTTAGGTACACGAATGGGCGAGAAAGCGGTTAGGTTAGGTTAGGTTGGGGGAGGGTAGGGAGGGAGGGAATGGGTGTTGGTGGAACAGGTGCAGCTGGGCCATTACCTCCCTCACTCCGCCACTTCCCTTCCGTAAAGTGGCCGCCAGAGTGACGTCATTTGTGTTGGTATGGTAGAGGGTTATGGTTCGTTTTTTATCCTTCTCTTTATTGTTCTATTTTCTTTTATTCTCTTTCTTCTTCTTCATTGTCCACACATTTATTATCTTCTTGTCGTCATCTATTATTGTCTTCACATGTGTTCATCTCCACATATTATTGTCTTCACGTGTCTTCATCTCCACATATTATTGTCTTCACGTGCCTTCATCTCCACATATTATTGTCTTCACGTGTGTTCATCTCCACATATTATTGTCTTCACGTGTCTTCATCTCCACACATTGTCTTCACGTGCCTTCATCTCCACATATTATTGTCTTCACGTGTCTTCATCTCCACACATTGTCTTCACGTGTGTTCATCTCCACACATTGTCTTCACGTGCCTTCATCTCCACATATTATTGTCTTCACGTGCCTTCATCTCCACATATTGTCTTCACGTGTCTTCATCTCCACATATTATTGTCTTCACGTGCCTTCATCTCCACATATTATTGTCTTCACGTGTCATCTCCACGTCTTCACGTCTTCATCTCCACATATATTACCTTCACGTGTCTTCATCTCCACATTATTGTCTTCAATCCCTTCATCTCCACATATTATTGTCTTCACGTGCCTTCATCTCCACATATTATTGTCTTCACGCGTGCTCTTCATCTCCACATATTATTGTCTTCACGTGCCTTCATCTCCACACACATTGTTCTCTACGCCTTCATCTCCACATATTATTGTCTTCACGCAAGTCTTCATCTCCACATATTGTCTTCTTCACGCCTTCATCTCCACAGACATGTCTTCACGTACCTTCATCTCCACACACATTGTCTTCACGTGTCTTCATCTCCACATATTATTGTCTTCACGTGTCTTCATCTCCACATATTATTGTCTTCACGTGTCTTCATCTCCACATTATTGTCTTCACGTGCCCTCTTCACATCTCCACATTATTGTCTTCACGTGCCTTCATCTCCACATATTGTCTTCACGTGCCTTCATCTCCACATATTATTACCTTCACGTGTCTTCATCTCCACATATTATTGTCTTCACGTGTCTTCATCTCCACATATTATTGTCTTCACGTGTCTTCATCTCCACATATTATTGTCTTCACGTGTCTTCATCTCCACATATTATTACCTTCACGTGTCTTCATCTCCACATATTATTGTCTTCACGTGCCTTCATCTCCTCCACACATTGTCTTCACGTGCCTTCATCTCCACATATTATTGTCTTCACGCGCCTTCATCTCCACATATTATTATTGTCTTCACGTGCCTTCATCTCCACATATTATTGGTTCTCACGTGTCTTCATCTCCACATATTGTCTTCAATGCGCCTTCATCTCCACATTATTATGTCTTCACGTGCCTTCATCTCCACACATTGTCTTCACGTGTCTTCATCTCCACATACATATTGTCTTCACGCGCCTTCATCTCCACACATTGTCTTCACGCGTCTTCATCTCCACATATTATTGTCTTCACGTGTCATCATCTCCACATATTATTGTCTTCACGTGTCTTCATCTCCACATATTATTACCTTCACGTGTCTTCATCTCCACATATTATTGTCTTCACGTGTCTTCATCTCCACATATTATTGTCTTCACGTGTCTTCATCTCCACATATTATTGTCTTCACGTGCCTTCATCTCCACATATTATTACCTTCACGTGTCTTCATCTCCACATATTATTGTCTTCACGTGTCTTCATCTCCACATATTGTCTTCACGTGTCTTCATCTCCACATATTGTCTTCACGTGTCTTCATCTCCACATATTATTGTCTTCACGTGTCTTCATCTCCACATGTTATTGTCTTCACCTCAGTGGGTATATAAATACAGTGTGAGGTGGCAGGTTTTCCCAGTAGGGCCCCGAGCACCCTAAGCTGCACACCCGCGCTATGATTCACACCGAGATTCTCACATTAATTTATTTCTCGTAACTGAAGACCTGAGATTAAATAACTGCTTTATATATAACACTAAACTTAACATGAACACTCAGACTCGACCTTAACTAGATACGGTTATTTTAGTTATACGAGAACAGTTTAGTTGTGTTTTTAGAGGTTATGCCCGGTATGTTTTTGTTTGTTTGTTAATTTTTATTTTTAGTTTGTTTTAGGGTATAGTTTTTTCTGTGATTTTTTTTTATTTTAGGTTAGGTTATTTTTCTGTTTTACGTCAAGTCAGTTCTGCATTCTTATGCCTTCAGTTAACAGGGCATAACTCACCCTGAGGACTTATGTGTATCTATAGAGGCGTGTGATGAGTGTTGGCAGTCACAACAAAAGCACGACATAGTGTGAGAAAGGTGTGTGTGTATGTGTGTGAGTTATGAGTGTGAGAAAGGTGTGTGTGTGAGTCATGAGTGTGAGAAAGGTGTGTGTGTGAGTCATGAGTGTGAGAAAGGTGTGTGTGTGAGTCATGAGTGTGAGAAAGGTGTGTGTGTGAGTCATGAGTGTGAGAAAGGTGTGTGTGTGAGTCATGAGTCATTGGTGCCACTCACTCACTCACTCACTCACTCTCCCGGTGACGTCACGAGGCGCGCCCCTCCTCCCTGGTGCTGACGTCACACCCCGCACCGCCATGTAAGGGAAGACCACGCCTCCTTCCCTCCCTCGCTGAGTGTGTGTGTATGTGTGTACCGCCTCCACCTCGCCGTCCAGTACGCTGACACCTCCACTCCGGTGTGTACGTGTGATAATACTAGGTGTCCAGCTGTTTTAATCTGTGATATAATTACCGTAGGAGCCAGTGTAGACTAAGTTAAGTGGGATCCGACTACAAGACAAACAGTTAAGTAGTACCGGGGGTGTGTGTGTGTGTGTGTCTGTGTGTGTTCGTACGTTTGTTGTGACATCACCGTGTCTCTTGATATATCCAAGTGATGTCATATTGCTTATTTCTGATATTATCCAGGTGATGTCACGCTATGAAAATGGGGTATTAATAGTTTTGGCCTAGTAACGCAAAACTTCCCGGACCCCTCGCTAACTTCGCCAAGTATAACAACATTCACATCCCACTACTCTTTGAGATTTTTGGCAACGCTAGTACTGTATTCATCACCACGCCCACACCCGCGTGGGGGTCAGCGTCCAACATCAACTGACATACAACGTCAGATACGAACACCTCCCAACAGCTGAGGTAGCAGGTCAAAATATGGCGCCCCATTTGAATTACTGACAGCGGCGAGTGTAGCTGTAGTGTAGTACTGTGGTATAGTGCTGTGGTGCTGTGATGTAGTGTAGTACTGTGATATAGTGCTGTGATGTAGTGTAGTACTGTGATATAGTGCTGCGATGTAGTGGTGTGGTGCTGTTATGTAGTGATATGCTGTAGTGGTGTGGTGCAATGCTGTTGTATAGTAATATGCTGTAGTGCTGTGGTGTAGTGCTTATGTATAGTAATGCAGTATGGTGCTATGCTGTAATGTTGTGGTGTAGTGTTGTGGTGTAGTGCTGTGTTGTAGTGTTGTAGTATAGTACTGTAGTATATTGCTGTGGTGTAGTGCTGAGGTTTAGTGGTGTGGTGTTGTATAGTATTGTAGTATAGTGGTATTGTGCAGTGGTGTGGTTATCAGTGTGGTGGACGTTGTGAGATACCACCTTCACCATTATCAATGAAGCGTTGTGTGCATCGGTATTGTGGTAGTGCTGTTGTATAATGCTGTAGTGTTGTGGTGTAGTGCTGTGGTGTAGTGTGATGCTGTGGTGTAGTGCTGTGGTGTAGTGCTGTGGTGTAGTGTGATGCTGTGGTGTAGTGCTGTAGTGTAGTGTAGTGCTGTAGTGTAGTGCTGTGCTGTAGTGTAGTGCTGTAGTGTAGTGCTGTGTATCTTGTGAACAAGTGTCGTTGACCACAATGGCGATGGGGTTAGTGTCACACAGGGCCTTTTCTAACCTAACCTAACCTAACCTATTCTAACCTAACCTAACTTTATCTAACCTTACCTTACTTTACCTATTATATATCACGTACCAAACTGTAGCCTAACCTAACCCTAAACCTAAATCATTGTTTTAAGACCATTGGACTGCTCAGGTAAATGACACCACTCAACGCGCTGCCTTCCTGTACACATTTCAAGCAGAATAGAAAAAACAATAACAATGTAAAAATATCCAAGGTGTTATGACTCGGTTCTCACAAAGACGATAAAGGTTTGGTGTTATGCACAATGTTTGGACAAATTATGGTATGTGAAAAAAAAAGGTGTGAAAAACATGCATTCCGCGTTTTAATTGGGGAAAGAAATTGATGAAAAGTAAATGTGGTGTGAAGTGTAATTTTCTTGACACCTTAGCTAACTGACCGAGGTGGTTTACATAATTGGACACTTAAGTAAATACTAATCTAATTTTACTTAGCTGCACATAACCTAACCTAACGTATCCATGCCTAACCTAACCTAACTAAACCTATCTTAGCCTAGCCTAAACATTACATAACCTAACCTAACCTAGCCAAGCCTAACCTAACCTAACCTAACTAAACCTATCTTAGCCTAGCCTAAACATTACATAACCTAACCTAGCCAAGCCTAACCTAAACTTCACATAACCTAACCTAGCCAAGCCTAACCTAACCTAACTAAACCAAACCTATCTTAGCCTAACCTAGCCAAGCCTAACCTAACCTAACTAAACCTATCTTAGCCTAGCCTAAACATTACATAACCTAACCTAGCCAAGCCTAACCTAAACTTCACATAACCTAACCTAGCCAAGCCTAACCTAAACATTACATAACCTAACCTAGCCAAGCCTAACCTAAACTTCACATAACCTAACCTAGCCAAGCCTAACCTAAACATTACATAACCTAACCTAGCCAAGCCTAACCTAAACTTCACATAACCTAACCCAGCCAAGCCTAACCTAAACATTACGTAACCTAACCTATCTTAGCCTAGCCTAAACATTACGTAACCTAACCTAGCCAAGCCTAACCTAAACTTCACATAACCTAACCTAGCCAAGCCTAACCTAAACATTACGTAACCTAACCTAACCTACCAAGCCTAATCCCAAACATTACGTAACCCAACCCAGCCAAGCCTAACCTAAACTTCACATAACCTAACCCAGCCAAGCCTAACCTAAACTTCACATAACCCAACCTAGCCAAGGCTCAACCCAAACTTCACGTAACCCAACCCAGCCAAGCCTAACCCAAAACATTACGTAACCCAACCTAGCCAAACCTAACCTAAACATTACGTAACCTAACCTAGCCAAACCTAACCTAAACATTACGTAACCTAACCTAGCCAAGCCTAACCTAAACTTCACGTAACCTAACCTAGCCAAGCCTAACCTAAACTTCACGTAACCTAACCTAGCCAAGCCTAACCTAAACTTCACGTAACCTAACCTAGCCAAGCCTAACCTAAACTTCACATAACCTAACCTAGCCAAGCCTAATATAAACATTACGTAACCTAACCTAGCCAAACCTAACCTAAACATTACGTAACCTAACCTAGTCTTAGCCAATCCATATTCGACCTTGCCCAGCCTTATCTAACCTAACCTACTAATTACTAGTTATAAGGGTGATATTCGACTATCCGTTAATTAATTTACGCTTGTGACATTTCATAATACATTATCTTGAAGCTGCTGTATACACGATATGTCCTCTTGAAGCTGCGGTATACACGATATGTCCTCTTGAAGCTGCGGTATACACGATATGTTCTCTTGAAGCTGCGGTATACACGATATGTCCTCTTGAAGCTGCGGTATACACGATATGCCCTCTTGAAGCTGCGGTATACACGACAATATGTCCTCTGCGGTGAACAATATGTCTGAAGCTGCGGTATACACGACAATATGTTCTCTTGAAGCTGCGGTATACACGACAATATGTCCTCTTGAAGCTGCGATACACGACAATATGTCCTCTTGAAGCTGCGGTATACACGATATGTCCTCTGAAGCTGCGGTATACACGATATGTCCTCTTGAAGCTGCGGTATACACGATCATCTGCTGTTGATTCCTACATTTTCCTACGTCTCTATCTTGTGTTTTTTTTTAATATAAATTGTGCTGTTTGGTGTTTTTTTTTTTGCATTGTGTAAATTGCTCTCAAGTTGTTATGCTCATATTTTGACGATGTTTCTGTTGTACGTTATGCTACATGCTTGTCTGCTACGAAGAAAACCGGCATATTGTTTCTTCTTTCTTCTCTTCTTTCTTCTTCTTCCAAACAAATGATGAATAAACGTCATACCATCAATAAAAGCTGTTGTTACCATCATATCTCTCTCTCTCTCTCTCTCTCTCTCTCTCTCTCTCTCTCTCTCTCTCATATCAGGGTCAAGAGTTTTGATATTTTGTTTATTGGTAAAATGTTGTACCAGATTATGAAACTGAAGGGGAATTAATATAGAAGAAAATGAATGGGGGATAAAGTGGACAGTAAAGGATAAAGTGGACATTAAAAGGATAAAGTGGACAGTGAAGGATAAAGTGGACAATAAAGAAGAAAGTAGACAGCAAAGAAAAAAGTGGACAGTAAAGAAAAAAGTGGACAGTAAATGATAAAGTGGGCAGTAAAGAATAAAGTGGACAGTAAAGGATTATGTGGACATTAAAAGGATAAAGTGGACAGTGAAGGATAAAGTCGACCGCAAAGGATTAAGTGGACAGTAAAGAATAAAGTGGACAGTGGAGGATAAAGTGGACAGTAAAGGATAAAATGAACAGTAAAGGATAAAGTGGACAGTAAAGGATAAAGTGGACAGTAAAGGATAAAGTGGACAGAAAGGATAAAGTGGACAGTGAAGAATACAGTATATAGTAAAGGATAAAGTGGACAGTAAAGGATTAAGTGGACAGTGAAGAATTAAGTGGACAGTGAAGAATAAAGTGGACAGTAAAGGATAAGATGGACAGTGAAGGATAAAGTGGACAGTAAAGGAGAAAGTGGATAGTGAAGAATAAAGTGGACAGTAAAGGATAAAGTGGACAGTAAAGGATAAAGTTTACAGTAAAGGATAAAGTGGACAGTCAAGAATAAAGTGGACACTGAAGAATAAAGTGGACAGTAAAGGATAGTGGACAGTGAAGAATAAAGTGGACAGTGAAAAATAAAGTGGACAGTAAAGGATAAGGTGGACAGTGAAGGATAAAGTGGACAGTAAAGGATAAAGTGGACAGTAAAAGATGAAGTGGACAGTGAAGAATAAAGTGGACAGTAAAGGGTAAAGTGGACAATAAAGGATAAAGTGGACAGTAAAGGATAAAGTGGACATTGAAGGATAAAGTGGACAGTAAATGATAAAGTGGACAATGAAGGATAAAGGACAGTAAAGGAGAAAGTGGATAGTGGAAGAATAAAGTGGACAGTAAAGGATAAAGTGGACAGTAGCGATAAAGTGACAATAAAGGATAAAAGTATAGTAAAGGATAAAGTGGACAGTCAAGAATAAAGTGGACACTGAAGAATAAAGTGACAGTAAAGGATAGTGGACAGTGAAAAATAAAGTGGACAGTGAAAATAGGGGTGACAGTAAAGGATATAGACAGGTGAAGGATGTGCGGACAGTAAAGGATAAAGTGGACAGTAAAGGATAAAGTGGACAGTAAAGGATAAAGTGGATAAAGTGGACAGTAAAGGATAAAGTGGACAGTAAAGGATAAAGTGGACAGTAAAGGATAAAGTGGATAGTGAAGAGTAAAGTGGACAGTAAAGGATAAAGTGGACAGTAAAGGATAAAGTGGACATTGAAGGATAAAGGACAGTAAAGGATAAAGTAGATAGTGAAGAATAAAGTGGACAGTAAAGGATAAAGTGGACAGTAAAGGATAAAGTGGACATTGAAGGATAAAGTGGACAGTAAAGGATAAAGTGCACAGTAAAGGATAAAGTGGACAGTAAAGGATAAAGTGGACAGTAAAGGATAAAGTGGACAGTGAAGAATAAAGTGGACAGTAAAGGATATAGTGGACAGTAAAGGGTAAAGTGGACAGTAAAGGGTAAAGTGGACAGTAAAGGAGAAAGTGGACATTGAAGGATAAAGTGCACAGTGAAGGATACAGTGCACAGTGAAGGATTAAGTGGACAGTAAAGGATTAAGTGGACAGTAAAGGAGAAAGTGGATAGTGAAGAATAAAGTGGACAGTGAAGAATAAAGTGGACAGTGAAGAATAAAGTGGACAGTGAGAGAATGAGTCGGGCAGCATGACAGTCAAAACCGAGTGTTGAGCCAGACACAGACACACCTCACCCCTCTCCTCCTCTCCCTCTTCCCTCTCCTCTTCTCCCTCCCTCTCCCCCTCCCTCTCCTCTCCCCTTCCCTCTCCTTTAGTGGTCTTAAGGCAGGCTGGGTCATGAGGCAGGCTGGGTCATGTGGTAGGCTTTGTCGTGAGGTAGGCTGGTCGTGAGGCAGGCTGGGTCATGAAGCAGGCTGGGTCATGGCAGGCTTTGCAGAGGCAGGCTTTGTCGAGGCAGGCTGGTTAGAGGCAGGCTGGGTCATGAGGCAGGCTGGGTCATGTGGGTAGGCTTTTGTCGAGGTAGGGCTTTGTCGTGAGGCAGGCTGGGCTAGAGGCAGGCTGGGTCAAGTGGAAGCAGGCTGGGGTCAAGGGTAGGCTTTGTCGTGAGGTAGGCTGGGTCATGAGGCAGGCTGGGTCATGAGGCAGGCTTTGTCGAGGCAGGCTGGCTGGGGAGGCAGGCTTTGTCGTGAGGCAGGCTGGCCTCATGAGGCAGGCTGGGTCATGAGGCAGGCTGGGCTGTGGGAGGGGTAGGCTGGGTCGGGAGTAGGCTTTTGTCGGGGAGGCAGGCTTTGTCGGAGGCAGGCTTTTGTCGTGAGGCAGGCTTTGTCGTGAGGCAGGCTGGGCTGGTGAGGTAGGCTTTGTCGTGAGGCAGGCTGGGTTGTGGAGGCAGGCTTGTCGAGGCAGGCTGGCCGCGAGGCAGGCTGGGAAGTGAGGCAGGTTGGCCAGGAGGTAGGCTGGGTCGTGAGGTAGGCTTTAATGTGAGAGGCAGGCTTGCTGTGGAGGCAGGCTTTTGTTAGAGGCAGGCTGGGCTGAGGTAGGCTGGGTCTTGAGGCAGGCTTTGTCGAGGCAGGCTGGGCTGTGGAGGTAGGCCGTCAGAGGTAGGCTTTGTCGTGAGGCAGGCTGGGTTGTGAGGTAGGCTGGGTCTTGAGGCAGGCTGAAGGTGAAGGGTTTTGAGGGAGGGAGGGAAGGAAGGAAGGAAAGAGGGAGGGAGGGAGGGAGGGTAGGGGGTGTGGTATCGATCGTAGTTATGTGTCGCCAGACGTGGTTTCCCCGTCCCTGGCCATCACCCCCCCTCCCCCCCTCCCCCTCACTCCCACATCTCTGGGCACACCCTTGTTCTCCGTTACCCCACTATGAAGCCCTGCAACCCCCCCCTCTCTCTCTCTTACCCCCTCCCTTTCCCTCCCACAATCCCTCACCCTCCCTCTCTTCTTACCCCACCCTTTTTTTTCCCTCCCCCCAACATAACCTATCAGTAGGTGACCTAAATATTAGACACCCAAGGTTAGATTAGGTTATGTTATGTTAGATTATATTGGGTTAGGTTAGGTTAGGTTAGGGTTAGGTTAGGTTAGGTTAGGTTAGGTTAGGTTATATATAGGTTAACTTAGCATTAGGTTAGTTTGTTAGGTTAAGTTTGGGTGTTAAATCGTCGGTGCAATAAGCTGGGTGTGTGCCATTCAGGTGGGCCGTAACAGCGCCTCTGGTGGCGAGCTTCGTACTACCTGTAAACTAACTATCTATTGTGCTGTACTGAAGTGTCTTATTGTTTCGTATGTCTGTATGTCTGTCTGTCTGTCTCAAGAAGAAGTGTCTTTACGTTGTTGTGGTGTGTGTGTGTGTGTGTGTGTGTTTAGTTTGTTGTGTGACTGAACCATCGTTTTGGTGAATTATTATTATTATTATTATTATTATTATTATTATTATTATTGTTGTTGTTGTTGTTGTTGTTATTGTTGTTACTGTATTATTATTATTATTATTATTATTATTATTATTATTATTATTATTATTATTATTATTATTACTGTATTATTATCATTATCTTACTGTAACCATGGAGTATAAGAGGTATTTAGTGTTACCCCGTCCGTTTGTCCGTTCGTGAGATACCGTTAGTATCTGGAGAACGTGTTTGTATATCAAGTGAAACTTTGTGTACAGTTATATATCAGTTGTGACCCTGTAATGATTCTCTCTCTCTCTCTCGTCAGACTTGAACCCCTAACATGACACAATAACTTGGCTCCGGGTTATTTACTACCAGTATTATGTTTATTGTTGCGCAGTAAGCTGGAATGGCTCTAGACGGGGTTCCAGGAAGCGCATGCGTCTGCTAGGTGGTTTTAAGCATGTTTCCTGGAAGGGGTTATGACAGGTGTGTGAGGGGCGTGGCGTGGTCACGAGGGTGGCGCGCGCAGGTGACCCGTGATATAAACTCGGGTTTTGTCCTGGAGATTAGGGTAATAATACAGGTTAATGGATAACTCGGGGATAAATAACACGTGTAACGCCTCGGAATTACACCTGACTACCTAAACTAGAGACATTCACTTAACCGGGGGCGGAAACTGGAATATCAAAAAGGGGGGAGGGGGCGCTGTATGCCCTCCCAGAATTATTAATTTAAATCTGACCAATACCATGGGCATTTGGAGGCCATTTTGAAGCCATGTGTACTTGATATTAAAAGATATTCTGAGGTCAATAGTTATTATTATGTTTTACTATACAAAAACACCTGAATACAATACTGCATTAAAGGGGGGTCTGGATCCATGAGACCCCCTTTGGATCAGCCCCTATTAACACCAATCGGGAGACAAATTTAACATTAAGAATCTTAAGTAGGATGAGTGTGGTTTATAATAGGTAAATGTCATATGAGTGACGTCAAGGTACTAAGTATGATGGCTGATGTTATGTTTGTTACTTGAACTTATAAACACATGTATTGTTATGTCTTAGTATTACTCAACAAGGTGTAAATATTAAAGTTGTTATTGTTCCAGGACAAGATGGTGGTGTCGGAGGGAGCCATCAACAACATTATGGGTGGGATGGAGAACACGGCCGGGGTCAGACTCCACTCCCACCGTCACAAGCTAAAACAGAGGTACGTTTCTTCATCTGTCTGGTCTGTGTGTCGCTATACGGTAAAGGTGTTATTGCTTGGTCACAGGCTGAACCAGCACTAGGGGTCGTTAATATCATCTCGTACTGTAAATATCCTATTGGCATACACCTGTGACTCCTCGCAAGTACCCAACGTGATAAATGCACAATACAGATAACACCTGGTTACTAGTGCACAATACATAGTAATACCTGGTTACTAGTACACAAGACATGGAGCTGTGATCTAAGACAGTTCACAATTAACCCGCCCCCATGAGAGGTCGCCCCTCTTTCCCCCTCCCCCATGAGAGGTCGCCACCCTCCCTTGAGAGGTCGGCGCCCCCTCCCCTGAGAGGTCGCCCCCCCCCCTTTAGGCGCCCGGGTGATCGATAAGTCATTTAACTCTAGAACTGTTGCAGTTGATCACCCGCTTACTGCACCCGAGAGGAGCCGAGGTGATTGCTGGTGCCGTGTGGGGCGGGGCCATCATCAAGCACTGTTTGTGGCAGATAGATATTCAGTGAAATTGTCCTACACGTACACATTAATGTAAACAGTACATGTATATAATGTATAGAGACAGGAAGGAAAAAAAACAATATACATAGATGTTTATGAACTATTATGTCCACCAAATATCATTGAATTTATTACATACTGATAGACAGATCACCACTAAGGGGGGTTAGCTACGTGAAGACGGATTTAAGAGGAGAAAAAAAAGATAAACCTCTCGTAGGAAATATGTCCATCAGTGAGGTCGGGAAGAGGCTGACAACACGAAGCCAGACATGTGTATAGATAAACAGGAAGTTGGGAGAACTATACAAACATACACCGGATGCTGCACTGACACCCCCTCCCTCCCTCCTGTCTCCTCCTCCTCCTCCTCCCCTCCTCCTCCCTCCCTCCCTCCCTCCCTCCTCCCTCCCTCCCTCCTGCCAGCAGTGATCTGATCCCGGGACCATGATATCCAAGGTCACTTCTCTGATTACTCGGCCTCTGTACATTACCCTTTGAAAAAACATTTATTCTTTTTACGCATGAAAGATGAATGTGATTAATGTGGTGCTCAGTTTAGGACATGGGTGATGGGACCCAGTTTAGGACATGGGTGATGGGACTCAGTTTAGACATGGGTGATGGGACTCGGTTTAGACATGGGTGATGGGACTAGTTTAGGACATGGGTGATGGGACCCAGTTTAGGACATGGGTGATGGGACCCAGTTTAGGACATGGGTGATGGGACCCAGTTTAGGACATGGGTGATGGGACCTTGAAGGAGACATGGGTGATGGGACCTCAGTGGACATGGGTGATGGGACCTGTATGATGGACTCAGTTTAGGACATGGGTGATGGGACTCAGCTTAGGACATGGGTGATGGGACCCATTAGACATGGGTGATGGGACTCAGTTTAGGACATGGGGATGGGACCAGTTTAGGGACATGGGTGATGGGACCTCAGTTTAGGACATGGGTGATGGTGGCTGTTTAGGACATGGGTGATGGACTCTGTTTAGGACATGGGTGATGGGACTCAGTTTAGGACATGGATGATGGGACCTGTTTAGGACATGGGTGATGGGACCTGTTAGGACATGGGTGATGGGACCTGTTTAGACATGGGTGATGGGACCCAGTTTAGGACATGGGTGATGGGACCTGTTTAGGACATGGGTGATGGGACCAGTTTAGGACATGGGTGATGGGACCTGAAGTTAGACATGGGTGATGGGGCCCAGCTTAGACATGGGTGACGTAGATTCATCGGTACCGTGTGGATGATTGATATGTGAGAGAGAAAGAGGAGGTGGCTATGGTGAGAGGGTGAGGAGGTAAGATGTGGTGAGAGAGGGAGGAGGTGGCTCAGGGTGAGAGAGGTGAGGAGGTACATGATGTGAGAGGGGGCAGGAGGTGGCCATGGTGTGTGAGAGGAGAGGTGGCAGAGAGAGGGTGAGGAGAAAATGGTGAGAGAGAGGTGGCTGGTGTGTGAGAGGGAAGGGGGGAGAGGGTGAGAAGAGAGGTGGGGGAGGGAGAGGCAGGTGTGAGAGGGCAAGGAGTGGGGAGAGAGGGTGAGGAGGTGCTATGGTGTGAGAGAGGGGCAGAGGCATGTGTGAGGAGAGGGGTGAGAGGTGGTGGGAGAGGGTGAGGAGGTGGCTATAGTGTGAGAGGGGAGAGGCCATGGTGAGGGAGAAAGGCCATGATGTGTGAGAGGGGTGAGGAGGTTGGCAGGTGAGAGGGTGAGGAGGCTGCAGTGTGGAGGAGGGGCGAGAGGCAACATGATGTGGAGAGGAGGAGGGTGGGGTAAGTAGGAGGGTGAGGAGGTGGCCATGATGTGTGAGAGGGTGAGAGGGTGGGGCTGTAGTGTGAGAGGGTGAGGAGGTGGCTATGATGTGAGAGGGTGAGGAGGTGGCTATAGTGTGAGAGAGGGTGAGGAAGTGCCATAGTGTGGTGAGAGGGTGAGGAGGTGGCTAATGATGTGTGGGAGAGGGTGAGGAGGTGGCTATAGGTGGGGAGAGAGGGTGAGGAGGTGGCCATGATGTGTGAGAGGGAGAGGTGGCTATGATGTGTGTGAGAGGGTGAGGAGGAAGCTAGTGATGTGTAGAGGGTGAGGAGGTACATGAGGTGAGAGGGTGAGGAGGTGGCTATGGTGGAGAGGGTGAGGAGGTGGCTATGGTGTGGTGAGAGGTGAGAGTAAAAAGGATGTGTGAGAGGGTGAGGAGGATGGTGATGTGAGAGGTGAGAGGCCAGATGTGAGAGGGAGAGGTGGCCATGATGTGAGAGAGGAGGAGGTGGGCCATGGTGTGTGTGAGAGGGTGAGGAGGTGCAGAGGAGGAGGAAGGGAGAGAGAGGGGAGGAGGTGGGCTGGGGAGAGGGAGAGGGAGGAAGTGTGAGAGGAGGGAGGAGGTGGCTATGGTGAGAGAGGAAGAGGAAGTGGCTACAGATGTGAGAGAGGTGAGGAGGTGGCTATGATGTGTGAGAGAGGGTGAGGAGGTGGCTATGATGTGTGAGAGGGGTGAGGAAGTGGGGAGAGATAAGAGAGAGGGGTGAGGAGGTGGCCAGAGTGTGTGAGAGGGTGAGGAGGTGGCCATGGTGTGTGAGAGGGTGAGGAGGTGGCAGGATGTGTGGGTGAGAGGGGAGGAGGTATATGTGTGAGAGGGTGAGAGGTGGCAGGTGAGAGGGGGAGGAGGAGGGCTATGATGTGTGAGAGGGTGAGGAGGTGGCCATAGTGTGAGAGGAGGCCATGATGTGAGAGGAGAGGTGGCTATAGTGTGTGAGAGGAGGAGAGGTGCCATGAGGTGAGAGGGAGGAGAGTTGGCCATAGTGTGAGAGAGGGTGAGGAAGGTGGCTATGGGTGTGGAGAGGGGTGAGGTGCTATGATGTGTGGAGAGGGTGAGGAGGCTATAGTGTGAGAGAGGGTGAGGAGGTGGCTAAGGATGTGAGAGGGTGAGGAGGTGGCCATGATGTGGAGAGGGTGAGGAGGTGGCCATGATGTGTGAGAGGGTGAGGAGGTGGCCATGATGTGTGAGAGGGAGGAGGTGGCCATGGTGTGGAGAGGGTGAGGAGGTGGCCATGGTGTGTGAGAGGGTGGAGGTGGCCATGATGTGTGAGAGGGTGAGGAGGTGGCTATGATGTGTGAGAGGGTGAGAGGCTATGATGTGTGAGAGGTGAGGAGGTGGCATGATGTGTGAGAGGGGAGGAGGTGGCCATGGTGAGAGAGGGGAGAGGTCCAGTGTGTAGAGAGGGGAGGAAGTGCATGATGTGTGGGAGAGAGGGGAGTGGCCATGGGGGAGAGAGAGGGTGAGAAGTGGCCATGATGTGTGAGAGGGTGAGGAGGTGGCCATGGTGTGTGAGAGAGGGGGTGAGAAGTGGCCATGATGTGTGAGAGAGGGTGAGGAGGTGGCCATGATGTGTGAGAGAGGGTGAGGAGGTGGCCATGATGTGTGAGAGGGTGAGAAGTGGCCATGGTGTGTGAGGGGGGTGAGGAGGTGGCCATGTGGTGTGAGAGGGGGGTGAGGAGGTGGCCATGGTGTGTGAGAGGGGTGAGGAAGTGGCCGTGACGCGTGTGTGTGTGTCTGTCTCTTTGCCTGTCTGTTTCTTACCAGCGCATCTGTTAAGCCATCCTCTCCCCTCCCCACTGACCTGTTTTGAGAGGTTGAGGTCAAAGGTTATAAAAAATCAAAAGTCATATTTTTCTGAACAGCTGATGTGAATCTTGGTGGGAGATGGGACGGGTGGCATTACATTACTTGACAAAACTCACACTCCATGGCGTGGTTTCTATGACGTCACATTTCTCCAGAAAAGTGCGCCAAAGGTGACGTGTGTCCAAAAAAACCTGCTTACGTGTATTACAAAATAATCAAATCTTGCAACAATGACCAAGGCAACGATGACCAAAAAGTAAATATATTCATTGTAAATCATCATATCCCAGAAACTGCCATATAAAGACTCTTTGTAGAACTGTTCAACTGTTCATAGGATAATAACACAGGCGAACAGTGAAGTGACGTCAGGATGGCGGGGTTTCCCTCACTAGTGGCAGCAGTGTGGCCGAGGCGAGGTATGCCATCTGATTGCTTTGTTTGTCAGTTTTATTTCCAGTGTTACGTTTAGACATTTTAGCTGTGGCCAACGTCGCTGACTGCGGAGTTCTTTGTTGCTCATATAAACAAACCTTTTAATCCCAGTTAAACAGTTTCTGTTTTTACCCGTTTCATTATTGTGTTCTTGTGTGTTACTGTTAACGGCGCCTGGACACGTGTCTACCACAGTATGGTAACATTATACACATATAGTTCTTATACATGGTTCATCTTATTCCACACACCTGCACCCGTAACGTGTTCAGTAGTGTGACGCTTCCACCTGCACCCGTAACGTGTTCAGTTGTGTGACGCAACGCCTGCACCCGTAACATTTTTAGTAGTGTGGCGCTACACACCTGCACCCGTAACGTTTTCAGTAGTGTGGCGCTACACACCTGCA